AGCACTGGGGAATCGGGGAAGGGGAACAGACAAGTTGCTGTCCTTTTGTGCTTCAGTCTAGTTGAGGATGTCGCTTCACTGGCCCATGTTGGTATTATTATTGCACTCCTCCCGGGTGAGGCAGATTGGTCGTCGGCCACTGGACGGCTGCTCAAGCCGGCTGCTGGCCACTCACGGTAGCTTATGGCAGCTCACTGCAGCCCCACTGCCGCCCCACTGCAGCCTACGCCGTCGCCGGCGACTCACAGCAGCCCAGCTCCAGGTCGAGCTGTTGTTCACCATCTTAGCTGTAGAGGGCAGTGTCACTGGCCCTCATGTGGGATCCAAACTGGGGCCCTACTGCTCAGAGCTGGCGTCCCAAGCCAACTCCTAACCAACGCGCCACACCACTCGGCCGGCCCTATTTGTTTTGTTTTGCTGGCTCCGACTTCTGCCACAATAGTGACTCTAAGCGGTGAACGCAGGTACCTGGTGTCATTCCTGAGTTAAAAGCGACATCTGTTAACATTGCACCACTGACTTCCGGTATTTATTCTAGGTTTTATAGATCCTCTTTATCATGTTAAGGACCGTGCCTTGCTCAGGGTTTTAAAGTCATAAATGGTTGCCAAGGTTTATTAAACCCTTTTCCTGCCATCTGAGATGATAATATGTTTTTGTTCCTTTATTCTGTTAAAGTGGTGAATTCTGTTGGGTGGACTTCCTGGCATTGAGGTTTACTTCCCGAAGTCAAGCCGGGTTGGCCAGGATGGAGCTTTCCTGACTTGGGGTTGTTGGTTCACATCTCAGGTGTCCTGCTGCCCGAAGTGGAAGCCTGTTGCTCTTTAATTGGAAAGACGCTCTCTGAGCGTCCTTGATTGTCTTCTGTGCTTTGACGTGTAACCTGTCAGCTGTGTTGACTGTTCGGTCTGGTGATAGTGACGCTGTGATATTTTGTTTGAAAGTGTTGTTTCTTTCCTGTACTTCAGTTGTGAGTGTAATGAAGCAGCTGTGCTTGTGAACCTGTCAAGACACCTTAAGCACAGAATAGGGGACGGAAATCCACGTATTTGAATGCAATTGAAGGTTGAGTGATTCACACAACAAACGTGTGTTGTTGCTTCTTGGAGAGCAGCAAGTTGTTAATTATGTTGCAGTCGTAGCGTCAGTCGTCAGTCGTGTCTTAGGGAACTCAGTGTGTCTTTCGTGTGATGGATGGCTGCCTTTTAGTCCACATTTTAGATTGGTTAGAGACTCTTACTTGGTTTCATCATCAGGTCTTATAATTCACATAGGGGAATGGTCCTTGAATCATGTTGCAAACACTTGTGTTGTAAATATCTTCTTTCTGAGCCCACGTGGCTCCAGGGTTTCGGGGGCTGTAAATCCCACAGGTCTTCTCAGTGGAACTGTATATTTTGTTGCTCCTCTCACAGAAATTATCTCTATAGCTCTTTATATGTTGTAAAGTCTTATTGCTGGTACATATGGTTGAATTACGATGTTTTCAGATTTCTGAAATCAGATTTTTTTATAAGTAACCATAAGCACAGCGACATTTTCAATTTCAGTGTATTTCAGTTTTTAGAATGCAGGGCACCTCAGCCCCCTGAGCGCCCTGAGCTGCTGGTGCCCAGCACTGCCTTGGGGGGCAAGTGGAGGCCAGGAGACGAGGCTTACAAAGTGAAGACAGAAGGGCTACGGTGGGGGCCCTGGGAGCCTCTCCTGGGAGCCCCCCCTGGGAGTCCCCCCTGGGAGCACCTCCTGGGACCTCCCCCCCTCCAGAAACCCCCCCTTGGGAGCCTCCCCTGGGAGCCCCTCCTGGGAGCCCCTCTGGTAGCCCTCTGTGGAAGAACTAGTGTGTTTTTTTTTTGGGGGGGGTGGGGGCGGGGGGAAAACCTTTCCTGGCACTCAGGCTTCTGAAATTTAGCAAACAAACTGGGAATACCTGTTGTATTTTCATTTTTTCAGCCCTGGTGGAAGCACATCGTAGCAACTGTTTTTACTATTGTTGTTGAGAATAAGTTGATGTGCAGAAGAGATATTTTGGGAAGAATTTTTGTGATTTCAAAACACAAAGCAAACTCCTATGAACTATTTTAAGACAAAAGAAGCAGAGTAAACCACAGTCAGTGAAAATAAAAACAAAGGAAAGAGACCCCGCACCCTCTGCAGTCTGCTGTGGCTTCTGATTGCAGGCGGCCCCCTGTGATGGCTTCACAGCCTGGTCTGCACCTCAGTGAACAAGATGGAGGAAGACCCTTCCTCAGGGGAAGAGCCGCAGGCTTGGAAGAGGGGTGCTGTTCGAGATGGGGTGATAAAGGGAGGTGTCTGTCTCTCAGGAGATGGCGTTTGAACAAGCTCTTGTTCTAGAATCATGGGAGCTATGGGAAGTGTGGCAGCCGGGCGTCCCAGGCAGACGAGCAGTGCAAAGGCCCTGAGGCAGGGACACAGGTGGTGGGTTTGGTGAGAGGACCAGTGGAGGCGATGAGGCGACAGGAAGGGAGCTGCAGGTCGCGCACGGTGGTCGTGGCCGGCGGCTGGCACTTTGTCCTTGGTGTCTTGGGAAGCCACAGGGGCGGACTGTGTGGCCTGATGCTAGCAGCTCCCTCTGCTGCTCTGTGGGACGTGGAGCCCAGGGGCTGAGCAGCGATGGTCACAGCGGGCCATCCGTGAGATCACAGCCACTCGGCTGGAGGTGGTGGACCTGGCGGAGAGGCTGGGTTGGCTGTCTTTGGAGGCCGCCTCAGCGCCCCTGGCACTCAGGAGTCAGCTCTCTGCAGGACGCAGGGCGCGATGGCCCCAAAGCATGCTTCTCCGTAGTGGCAGAGCCAGCATCTGCGTCGCGTGTCACTCACCCTCCACGGGACATGCTCTTTTCACCATTTCAGCCGGTCTTTAAAAGCCATTTTTATTTTATGCTTGAACTACCTGTCCCCTTTATATTTACATGTTGCTGGGATTAAAGTCTTAAAAATATAATTTTCAGGTTATTGAGAGTGATTGAGTAGAGTGAAATCTAAATACCTTGAACTGAGCGATAGCTTTTCTTAATTAATAGGAAGTCTGACTTCTAAATTTTCCCCCAAAGCAATATAAATACACTCTTTCAAGAGCGTTAATGTCTGGGCTGGCACCGAGCTTCCGGAAGGCGGGGTAGGCTGGGGCCCGCTCAGCGGCTTGGACGGGGCATAGAAGGTAATCGCCAGGTCCTTTGCTGCCCTGTAAACAGTGCTTTCCAAGTGCTTGCCTTCTGTTTGTTTGCTGCTTGAGAGGCTGGCCACTTCCTCACGGCCTTCTTCAGCCTCGTTCACTCGGATTCACCTTGGGGTGCCTTCGCACGCTGCCCCAGGGGAGGCTCAGGTGGCGCCTCGCTCGACTTGCTCTGGACTCACAGAGAAGTCTGCCTGTGGACTGAGCCAGGAGCCCAGGCCAGCCCGGTCTTCCCTGAGACCTGCCCGGGCAGGGAGCTGGTTGCGGCCTCGTCATGCCTCCCTGGGTCAAGCTGTCAAAGGCATCTGTACCACTGTCTCTGGGGCCTTCCTGGTTGGTGCCCAGGTGACCCGACAGGGCCGTGGCGGCTGCGTTTCTGCCTCGTGGCCGAGAGGGGCTGGGGCCCCAAAGAGAGAGTTTCTTGCCTCCTTGGGACCTGCTTCCTCTTCTGTCCTCTCGGCTGTCTGAGGTGCTGTCCCCGCGCTGGCTGCAAGTGCAGCTTCCAGCTGGGGCGTCATCAGCCGCTAAGGGTTTACACGCGAGAAATGCTTAATGGGCTGCGTTGTTGAGTGATTTTGGTCTTTTAGTCATGTTTAAAATATTCAGTTCTCGCTAGAAAGCTATTGTCTTAAAATGAAAGATGTGTACAGATATGTCCGCGTGAGTGTGTCACTCAGCAGGTGCCACTGGGCGCCCGCTGTTACTGGCGCTGCGCTGGGGAGGTGTCCACCTGATGTTTTTGTCGCTTTGGAAAAGCACCGCGGATGCTGTGTTAGGGTGGGAACGGGGCAGGGGGTGTGCGCCGGTGGGTGTGGGCCCTGGGCCGCTGGCCCCTCCTTGTGAACGCCGCACTTGGTGCTGACTGTGGGGAGTCGGGGGCTGGACTACAGCTCAGTGGTGGTTAGGGGTGTGGGCAACGTGGGAAGGGACTGCCCTCCTTGGGTACAAGCACAGTAGCCTTTGCAAGGGTGGCTTGTCTGGGGATGATGTAACCGGCCCCTGAGCTATGGGGAAGCCTGCACCGCCAGCCTGGTGGTGGGAGGCCCAGGGACAGCAGGGGTGGGTGAACCCCAGGGAGGGGCAGGAAGGCTCCGCAGGGACTCCCCCTGGGGAGAAGGGGGCCAGGTTCACAAAGCAGGATGAGGTGGGGGGGGGCCTTTGGCAGCCCCTCTGTGAGGGGCAGTGCCGTCAGTGAATCTGAAGCTCGGGAATGCAGGAAGGGAGGGACAGGCTCTCCAGGCAGCGGGCCTGGTGGCAGGTGACAGCCTGGCGGGCTCAGAGAAGCCGGCCGCTAGAATGTGGTGCTCGGTGTGAGGGACACCCAGGAAGGCCAGGGCGCTTGCTGTGGACTGGGCCCCGTCAGGAGGCGGGGCCATGGGAAGGCCTTTCAGCCATGTGGGCATGTGGCCCGTGTGATGGTACAGTGTGTGCCTTGGTCAGTTACCTGTCCGAGTGAGGATGGGGGAGAGTGGGTGGGCCCGAGTGACGGTGAGGAGAATTACAGTGAGGAGAGTGGGATAGTTGCAGGGGTGTGTAGTCCACCATCCCATGCAGGAGTTGAACCGGCAACCTTGTTGTTAAGAGCGCGTGCTCTCACCAGCTCAGCGGCAGCTCAGCTTGGGCACAGCTCACTGGCCCATGTGGGAATCGAACTGGTGACCCTGTTGCTCAGAGCTCGCGCTCTTAACCAACTGAGCCACTCGGTCGGCCCCAATAGTATATATTTTAAGTAAAAGAACACATGCATTTTAAAGTTTCTGGTGTGTTTGCTTTTTGCTTCACCACCTGTTCGTTCACTTTTCTTTCAGATTTTTGAAAGGATATTGTTTATATGGGCGATCCGTCACCCCGCCAGTGGATATGTGCAGGGGATAAATGACCTGGTCACTCCTTTCTTTGTCGTCTTCATTTGCGAACACATAGGTAAGATCATGTCCTGAGTTTCCTTCTCACAACATTAACCATGAACTTCAGCGGCTTTACTGTGCATAGTTATACCAACACTGAAAACTGTCATCACGTTTAATGTTATTAATGATAGCTAATAATAAAGAATAATAGTTTTCTCATTGGTGCCAGCTTTAAAAAGTCTTTACATCATGTGCCCAACTACTGAAGTCATTGAGATGCAGTTATTGTTATTAATATCTTGTTTTTAATGTATGAGGAGAACTATAATGTATATTTGGGGAGTGTAGATTCATTCTAATGGCCGTCTGAGCACTGGCTTTAATGGTTTGGATTTAAATGTCTGAGGTTAAGGTTATAGAATATTAGTTGAATGTTTTGCTTACACCATAGAAACAATCTCTTTTAATTGCATTTCTGTAGCATTTCATCACCTTTCTGCTTTTGATATACCAGTAACGTTTCATTTTATGGGAATATTAATTACGTGCAAAGTAATTGGTTTAATGGAGGTTTAGGTTGGGTTATGCCGCTTGTCTTTACGGCATGGCTTTTCTTCTGTATGTGTCACAGCAGCCAAATGTAATATATCTTTCTCTGTTTTGAGCATATTTTACGTTTAAGAAAATTCTGGTAATATAAGTGAGGGATCTACTTTTTAATCCATCTGTGAATTAAAAAATAAATCCCAAAGACTGGGCTTTCCTCTTTAGTTGTGATGTTTTCATTGAAAACTGATTTTTAATTTGTTGTCATGTGACACGGCATTCGTTTGTTTGAATGAGTGTGTTTTTAGCCAGGAGAGCCTCCAGTTGGCCTCGGTCCTGTCACTGCGATCGACCGAGAGACTGGGTTTCCTGAGGACAGATCGTCCTCGGAGACGGACGGAGAACATGCACTCAGTGCTTTTTGTTGCAGCCCCTCTCACACTTTGTTTCCACTTAGGATTCCATGGGAGGGCTTTTCATTGCTAAGCAACTAGGGAGGACTTCCTCCCTCACTCCCCACTTGTCACCGAAGCCAGGGACAGGCCGGCTCCCCAGGGCCTCTGCCTTTCTGCTTCTCGGCCCTCATGTGACAGATAATGAAAAGGTTCTTAATGGCCCTGGAACAGTAGGACCTCTGTCAGTAGGCTTCAGAGATGTTAATTGAAACAAGAAGTTCAACTGAGATGTGATTAGAAAATTGATATTCCATGTTAAATAGACCATTTAATTAATGTGGTAAATAAGTTTGTCTTGAGGACTTGGCCACCCAGTTCCTTCGGAAGACCCAGGCGATCGGAATGCACGTTTGCTGGGTTGACGGCAGGATGGGACAGAGTTGACCTGAGTGTGGCGTTGCTGGTCCGGGAGACAGGACTGCTGGAGCGAGTACGATGCGTGTGGGCCAGAGCTGGGAGGAGGGTCCCGCTGCTGTCGGGCTGGTTGCTGTGGGAGCGGGGACCGTGTGGAGGGTGAGGGCCGGCCCTGGGGTTTCCGGGGTCTTCCAGGCTTGACTGCATTTGGCTCAAGGGCTGAGAACAGTGGCTGTCCTGGGGCGGGTGTGGCTCTCTGTGAAGGAGTCGGCGTCAGTCCAGGCTCCTGCTGTTGAGAGACGGGTCATCACGGACCCTGAGGCTGGAGATGCTGCTCCCCAGCCTGACTGCCTTCAGACCGGCTCAGACCGGCTCAGACTGGGCTCGGTGCCCACCAGCTGCCCTGGTGGACCTGGGCCTGGGGATGAAATAGCACCCGTGTCCTTGGTGCTGTGAGGCCTGAGTGAGCTTAGAGCCATGTGTTACCCATGCTGAGTGTCCGGGCAATGTTGCTGTTGACACTGTAGTTGTATCGTATCCCTTCACTGTCTTAGCCTGTGGCTTTCCCGCACATGCAACGGCAGGTGTGTGTACCTCTTAAGGGTCTGCGTTCTCAGCGTGTGCAGGGCACCGGCAGAGGCCAGAGGGCATGCCCGCTGAGTGTGCCCATGTTCATAAGCCTTCCTGGCTTTCTCTCATGGACACTCCCCTCCCCTCCCTCACTGCAGGGGTCCTGGAAGAGCGAGACTCCCACGTCCTTGTCCTGGAGCAGAGTAGACGGGGAAGGACGGCCACGTGTGTCCCCAAGGGGAGCGATGGCAGGTCATGGGAAGGAAATGGAGACGTGATTCTACAAGCAGCAAAAAAGTGTCACTGAAATGAAGGGTGGGATGCTTTCAAGGAGGGAGTGGTCAATAAAGTCCAGTGCCACAGCCTGGAAATTGCCCAGAGGGCCTGGCAGTGTGCACGTTAGTGGTGACCTGCAGGAATGGGCGGAGGATGGTGGCACGTCAGCTGTGACAGGGGCCGAGTGCCCTCCCTGCAGGAATGCAGGACGACCTGGGCCACAGGCCTCGCCCAGCTTTCATGAGTTAATTATTTTGTCGAGGCGTAATTGACATGCAACATGGTATGAGTTTCAGGTGTTCAGCACAATGATGTGATGTTTGTGTACATTGTAAAATGTCCAGCTAGCACCTGTCACCATACATAATTACAAAGCATGCTTTCTTGTGGTGAGAACTTTCAAGGTCTATCCTGTTAGCAACTTAGAAACATACAAAGCAGTACCACGAACTGTAGTCACCATGCTGCACATCACACCCCCAGGACCTACTGATTTTACTGGAATTTGTCCCTTTTGACCCCTCACTCACTTGACCCACTCTCACAACTTGACTTGGAAAAACTTTTCATTATGGAAAGTTTCCACCTCCGAAATTAACAGGGTGGTGTGATGAAGCCCCCCACCTGCCAGTACCTGGCTTCAGGGGTTGGTTGTTCGCTTCCTGTTTTCCACCCGCTGCTGACCTCTACCAATAGTTACTATTACTGCTTAAAAAATAGATTTATTGAGATATAATTTACATGCCATAAAATTCACCCACTTGGAGTGAAAAATTCATTGGTTTTTAGAAAGTCACACAGTAGTGTAATCATCGCCATGATTTAATTCTAGACTATTTTCATCATCCTAAAAAGAAACCATGTACCCGCCCAGTAGTGGTCCCCCCATTCCTCTCCAGCCCCCCACCGCCAGCCCCTGGCAATCACAAATCTAGTTTCCATCTCTATAGGTTTGCCTCTTCTGGAAAGTTCCTCTAAGTGGAACCATACAGTAGGGGGTCTTCCTAGACGGCTTCTTTCCCTTAGCGTGATGTTTCAGGGGCCATCTATGTTGTGGCATTTATCAGCACTTCAGTCCCTTTTAGGGGTAGTCCTTATGTGGACATACCGCGCTGTAGTTATCTATTGATGGGCATTGGGGTTCTTGCTACTTTTTGGTTATTATAGATAACCTTTGGGTTCAAGTTTAGTAGGGACATGTTTTCATTTCTCTTGGGTATATACCAGGAGTGGAATTGCTGGGTCACACGGAACCCTCTGTTTAGCCTTTTGAGGAGCCGCCATCTGTTTTCCCGAGTGGCTACATTGTGTCATGTTCCCTCCAGCTGTGCAGGAGGGTTCTGATTTGTCCACGTCCTTGCCACACTTGTTCCGCTTTTTACTTTTTTAAAATGAGGTAGCTTACACACCTCCCTTACAACTATTGAATACTGTGATTCAGGTTTGCCTTGTGTTATGTGTTCTCTTTCCTGTGTGCCCCCGGAGGTGCCAGCCCCTTGAAGCTAGGGGCTGTGTTTACGTGTGTGTCACGCTTTGCAGAGCAGCTCAGTGTGCACTCACCGTGTGGAGTGGGATCCTACAGGAGGTTTCTGTGTTGGTTGCACAATTAGACCATGTGGCTTGTTTAATGAAAAATACTTGCTCAGTGTGGAAGAATTGGAAAGTTTAGACTGTCTGGAGGCGGGAGGTAAAGGGCTGGACGGTCCCACTGCTGAGAAGAACCCATTTATTTGTATGTCTTCTCTCTGTAGCCGTTCCTTTCATTACGAGCCTCTCTGCCCGCACAGCCGTGCAGGGAGGGCTGGGGAAGGGCCCCCGTCCTCCATCCTCCACTCACGCTTCCCACGGGAGGGCCCGGCAGCAGTCTTGCATCCACCTGGGCTCCGTTTTGGTGCCTCGGGGTGGACTCCCGGTATCAGCCGTGCAAGTGACTGAGCTGTTGCCACCTGTCCTGCCCGTGGCCAGGCCTCTGAGCCAGCCTGAGCCTCTTCTCCGGGCTGCTGGTGGGAAAGCAGAATTGGTTCCAGTTTGCTCCTCTGTCTCTGAGAGGCTCAGCTGAGCATGTGGGTCCCAGCGAAGAGCTTTGGGCTGGAGGAAGGAGGACCCTCCGGCATTGAGCCTGAGCTGCATTTTGCACCCTGTCCTCGGCACGGGGTCCCGTGTGTGTCCCCATCAGGAGACGGGGTGCAGGCCCACTCCGGCACTCGGGGACAGCAGCTGCTCCAGTGCCTTTCCTATAGGTTGTTTTTCCCCGTGCATTTTATTTACATAGTTGAGAGCATATTATGTATGAAATTCTGTTTTGTGCTTTCCCCCATTTAACCTTGTAGCAGAAGCTTTTCCGTGTATTATGTAGAGATCTTGGTAAAGATCATTTCTACCTCCCGCACATAGTGCTCTGCTGAGAGAATGTCGCATAATTCATGAAACCATTCCACTGTTGTTGGATAGTGTTAGTTTTTTTTCCCCCTAGGCATGGTGTAATTTTTAAGTAAAGCCCGTATTTTTCAAACAGTGACTGTCATATTCCTTTTAGCAATGTTAAATTTGATTTAAAATTAAGAACCATTATTCCGTCCCCTTGAATCACACAGTTTCAGCAGAGGATTATATTTTAGGTTAAGTATTTTCAGCATCGTGAAAAGCGAAGAAGCACCCCCGTCCGTCTTTGTCCTCCGTGCTGTTTAAATCTAGAAACAGTTCTGACGGGGCACCTTGGACCCACCCCAGGGTGGCTGAATGTGGGGGGGCCGCTCGGCAGGCAGGACGGTGACTATTGGGGAAGATGAGGGGTATTTCACAGTTGGTTCTCATCAGCATGTGTAAGCTCTGATCTATTTGATATCATGTCATTTTCTCTTAAAATAATTAC